GAAAGATTAAAAACGTGTTCAGGTATATGTAACCAGACAAATATAATATAGCTGAAGAATACTGATGACTAATCAATCCTGAACTAGCTCTGAGTTTTGGCAGTTCTTCATGTAAAGGATTTTTATTACACTTCAACCACATTTTTTTATGTCTGTGTGTAAGTATAATACAACTTTGTTGTTTCTAATCAAGGATCAAAGTAAACAGTTACCTTTGCACAGTCTTGAGGTAAGACTCAACCAAGTATTTTTACTTGTCTTTGAAAATGTGGTTTGAGAGCAGTTTCTCACTTGCTTGTGGATATTTGAGCTCAGCCCATTGTTTTAATCTGGATAGTTTTTAACACAGCTGAATTAAAGAAGAATGTTTCTTGTAGTTTTAAGACTCTCTTCGGTATTCATGATACAGCTTTAATATTTTTTTTAGTTGTATGCAGTTTTATGTGTTTGTTTTTATGTGAGTACCTGGCTTCCTATTTGAGTATTCATTACTGTATGAAGATGTGAACTTGAAATTGACTTAATTTGAGGGTGTTATTTTTAGTTGCAGAACCTTAAATACCAATTATAAAATTGAATGGTCAGAACCATGTTTCTTTTCAATTACTGAGTCCAGAAAACAGTATGCTTCTGCTGCGTGGAAAAGCCAGTCACATAAAGCCCGTGCCAAGGAGCTGTGTGCACCGTGGAAGTCTCGGTGCAAGAATATGTACCAAGGAGGGCATAGTATTTGCTCTGCAAGTGCCATGGCAACCCTGCAGATATTGGAAGTGGCTGCCCATGAGTCTGAGTCCAGGGGCTGTTTTCCAGGCTGGCTGCTTTGATGTTTATCATATAAACTTTACTGCCAGAAAACACAAAAATCAAGAATTACAGTTTTACATTCTTTATGTTCACTTTCTTTATCTTACTAATAGGCTATGTCCCCAGCCAGTGTTATCTCATGTAAGTATTGCCATTAGGGCTATTGTACTGAAGTTATTTATAGATGCCAAGAATTTGGTCATTTATGCATGGCAATGAAACAACAAACTAAAGAAAGCTGCAAATGGTAGGAATTCACCAAACTCCACTATGGAGTTTGGTGCATGATGACTTACTGTAGCACAGTGCTTTAAGATACCAGTGGAATATCTAGCAAGTGCTGTTGCTCAGAGTAAAATACTGTTTTCCTGGGAGAAGAGCAGCTACTTTGTCAAGACTTTGAAACTATTTTGATATTTTTAAATACAAGTTCTCTTTGTATTTTTAATTTTTTTTTATGTTCTTTTGAACTCTTGCCATGAAAAACAGTCCTTAATTAAGTGAAAATTACATAAGCATTAAGATCATTCAAGACTGCATGCATTTAAAATGTGTGCCTTACTCTGTTCCATTCCCCTTCCTTCCTGTCCTCACTGGTGAGGACGCCAAGTCTATCTGTCCTGCTGGGTCTTGGAGAATTCCTCACTTCTCAGAGTCAAACTCACATCTGTCTTGGCATTTCCAGCCACTTCTCCTTACAGCTGCCCTCTGTAGACCCAGGAGGTACCGCCAACTAGGAGCTATGGATAAAATGACAGAAGAAAATACAGGTTTCAGGCCTGGCTCCAGATTTTCTGCTCCATGGAACGGCATTAGGAACTCTGTCCTTGCTGCTGCTTACTTGAGTAGCCCTGGGGTTGCACCCCTTCTGTAATAACTCATTCAAACAATTCTGTCTGATCAGCTCTTCCTTGTTGTGAGCTTAGGTCCCTGTAAATTTTTCCTGCTGGAGGCAGGATTCTCGGGTTCAAGTGGCTGTCAAAGTATAGGCTGGTAAAGAAAGAAACTTCTAGATTATGCTGCTGGGAACTTCCTCTCAATATGACAGAAACCACCAAAGTCCTAAGAACAGGGGTACTTTGGGTGTGTGTTAGAGGAGCTTAGGGCTAAAAGAAACAGATGAGCATTGTGCTTGTTGATCATGTGGTAGTTGACTTTGTGTCGTTCAAAGAAGTAATACTTCTGTTAGCAAGAGTTCTGCTTTGCAGGGTCACATCTCTTGGCTGAAGCAGGCCTGAGCTCTGTGAGGTAAGCAAGGTAAGCTTCTGTTACTGAAGTAGGCATATGTACAGCTTGTCTACAGAATGCAGTGAGTATTTATTTTAGCCACTAAAATTGGGAGTTTCTTGGCATTCAGACAGCTGAATTGGAAATACAAAATTAAGAGAATCCTTTGTATGTGTAACGTAAAATCATTTGTCTGGAAATATCTCTTTGCTGTTGCTCATTCAGGATGGAACTCCTGCTTTTTCACCTGACCTCTTACCATATTGGGTATCTCTCTTCTGCTGTCTAAACTGATATTCTTGAAGGTAGTAGACACCTCAGTACTTAAAAAGGTTTTACGAGTTCTTCTAAAGGTATTTTCAGATGGTTCTTCAGTCTTTCTTTGTTCTTTTCAGATACATTCTTCTAGGAATCTGAGAAACTGTGATTGTGCTGTGTATTTGGGTTTTGGGGGGTTTGCTTTTGGGGGGAGGTGTAGGCTTGTGGTTTTGGTTTTTGGGTTTTTTTGTTGTTGGGTTTTGGTTTTTTTATTTTTTGAGTTTTGGGTGGGTTTTTTGGGTTCGGGTTTTTTTTTTTTTTTTTTTTTTGGTTGTTCATTTGTTTTGGGGGAGGTTGGGGGTGGGTTGTTTTTTGTTTTGTTTTGTGTGGTTGTTTTTTTTTTTTGTTTGTTTGTTTTGGGTTTTTTGTCAGATGTCAACTTCTTTCAGCAAGTCTCTCTTTTTTTTTTTTGCCTAACACTGATTAATGACCCTATCTGCCTGGGTGAAAGGCAAAACTCCTGAAACACCTGTCTAAAAGTTATGTGCAAGTCTTTGTGCAGCTGCAGGAAAGGTTCAAGGCTGGGTGTAAGTCTACTCAGAATAGAAAGGATTAATACACTGGCATCTGAGAGTAGAGGTGAAGAGAGTAGAAGATACCCAGAAAGCAGTCTTGTCTGGTGAGATGCAGGTTTAAAGGGAATCTTAATTATGAATGAGACAGCTTACGTATACTTATTCTTGGTGCTTAATTTTGCTGTTTTGATAAATAGGGTGCCATGTAGTTTCTTTTCTCCACTTATCTATTTTTCCTACTCATTTATTTTTACTTTGTGCTCATTATGGTACCAGGAGGATCACTGTTTAGTATTTAATTAAACATGTGGCAGTTACATAGGTGCTGTTAAGTGCATAACATTTTTAACTTTTTTTTTTTAAAAAAAACCTGGATTGAAAGACCACCTTCCTTATAATGCAGGCTGTCAAGACATGCTTTTGTCAAGTGGTTAGGTGGCCCAAATACATGACATGTTGTTTGGTTTTGTCCTCCTCTTCCCCGCCC